GCGGGGCTGGCTGGCATGTGGTGCTGGGGGATTGAACCGCGGTCCCTGTGCTTTGCTAAGCTTGTTCTAAGTAGGTGCTTTAGACCACTGACCCATCTCACCAGCCCCCCGCTGTTTATTTTCTTAGACTCTTTCCTATGGAGGATGGGGAGATGGCCTCTTTCCAGACAGCAACTCCTGGCGTTGTCCAGCATGGTGTGGAACTTGCTGTCAGCTCAACCTGGGCATATAGGCATGTGCCACAACACCCAACTTCTTTCACTCTTTTTTATCTTTTGTGGTTCTGGGAATTGAGGGCCTCACACTAAGCTGCGTCCTCAGTCTTTTATGTTTTGAGGCCCGGTATTGCTGAGCCTTGATGTTGCCCAGGCTGTGTTTAAACCTGCAGCCCTCCTGCGTCAGCCTCCTGAGTGCTGAGGTTCCAGGTGTGCACCACCGTTCTTTGTTCTCTGTTGGCTTTTTCCTGAGGTGTTCGGTTTTTCATTTCCCTGCCTCTGTTTTCTCCGGAGCCTCTTGTGAAGGGAGTGTCAGCTTTAGAACTGTAGGTGTCCAGGACAGGATTTGCTGCTGGGTGGGGGTTGGAAACAGTGAGAAAAGTGGGGAGCAGATATTCCTTTTGTAAGACCCCTCATGTGCGACTCAGGGATTGAGAAGTGAAGAGATAAACATGCACTGCGTTCACCTCTCGCTGTTTGAATTGTATGTCTGAAGTCAACTTCGCAGCTTACTGCTGAGTGCTTGGTCCTGAGGTCTGTCGGCATCAAACGAGAAAAAAGGAAGCGAGGACTCCACTTAACAGCGAGCACCCTCTCGGCCCTGGAGGAGTTAGTGAGCGTGTGTTGCGGTGAGTGACCGTCCGCTGGGATGAACCTGAGTGCTCACGCGCCATGCTCACGTGGCCCTGAAGGACAGGGCTGAGTGGGCCAATGTTTGTCTCTTCCCAGAGGAGGCAGATGGCTGTCCCATTATCCTGGTCTGTGGCCCGCAGGATGTGGGAAAGTCCACGTTCAATAGGTACCTGCTCAACCAACTGTTAAACAGGTGAGCACGCCTTTTTCTCCCTGCGGTAGCAGGCTCAGTTCTGGTGCGGCGGGGTGGCATCACAGGCATGCAGTAGAAAGCAGCTGGCTTCCAGGTGGGGCTGCACGGCTCTGCACCTGCATGGTGTGGCCTGGCGGCATCCTCACTGGCTTGTGCTTGGCCTGCAGTGACAATGCTCTGGGAGGCACACGAGCTGGTGGGAGCCATGTCTGCGCCGCCAACCATTCGTCCTAATACCATCTCAGAGTCTGGGCTGCTGGGCGTGCTTGGCATTGCAGCCTGTACCACCTAAACAGCCACATAAAAAGGATCGTGCCTGTGTGCCCATGGAGTCCTGGTAGCCTGCTTTTCTTTTTCTTTTTTTTACGGAACTGGGGATTGAACTCAGGCCCTTGTGCTTGCCATGGAAGCGCTTATTTTACTGAGTTGTCTCCCCAGCCCCTGTTTTTTGTTTTTTTGTTTTGTTTTTGTTTTTTGGTGGAACTGGAGATTGAACTCAGGCCTCTGTGCTTGCCAGGCAAGCACTTATTCCACTGAGCCATCTCCCCAGCCCCCCGTTTTTGTTTTCTTTTTTTTCTTTTTTTTTTTTTTTTTGGTGGAACCAGGGATTGAACGCAGGCCCTTGCCCTTGCCAGGGAAGCACTTATCCCACTGAGCCATCTCCC